TATTTTGACTTCATGTTTGAGGTTTGAGTGAGAAAGACAATTTAGTCCATGTTTTTCTGCCTTGGTCAGAAGCAGAAGCTAATGTCATAACTTTTTACTTTGAAGACTGAGACAAGTTTTCACAGCATATTCCTTCTAGAGAACAAAGTTAGGCTCTGCTATTGGGTGTCCCCAGATGGGAACCCCACTTACCTTTGAGGCTTCAGCTCAGAGGCTACTTCCTTCAGAAATCCCTTTCTGGCACACTACCTTCCTCATGTGGCTTATTTGTTTTCTCTTGCACCAGATCATTCCGCAGCTTTTGAGTTTGTATATGGCAACAGTGAACAAGGTATAATCCTTGCTGTAGATAAACTTACTATATTTGTTTTTCTCCATGGAGTGAAAATGTTTTAAGCTCATATAATGACCATGGTTAGGGAAAGAGCCACACAAATAATTAGGATATGTTGTGACAATGCACAAATAGAAACACACATAATGTGCTCAAGAACATGATAAATGCTGGGTTTACCTTTCCTTCCCTCACCTGCCAAGCTCGCGGGGCATATGCGGCGTCTTCTTCATCTTTCCTCTTTGGTGCCAGGTATGGGAGAGGTCCATTATGGACAGGTGCCTCATCGAACTGAGCAGATCCATGAATGTCAGGCTGGGAGTGTGGTCACTGGGGTCAGGCCGCGGTTTACATCCTGGTTCTGCCTCTTAACCACTGTGTGCTTCAACAGGAGAGCAGGAGGTCCTGCTTAGTTTTGGACGTGCTAAGTTTGTGATGCCTGCTAGAGATCTGGGGAAAGCATGGTGAAGAAAGCTGAATGTGAAGAAAGCTGAATGTTCAGGAGGGAGGTGGTGTCCTGGGATGGAAATCTATAGCCAGTAGCAGTTGGTTCTTAGTGTCACGGGACACAGGAGGTCATATAGGAAGCAAATGCGGACAGAGAGTGAAGGGGTTTGAGGACTGGGTCCTGGGCACACCCACATCTGGAGGTGGGGGAGATGATGAAAAGCCAGCAAAGTAAACTGAGACATGATCATTGAAGCAGGAGGATAGCAGGCTAGGGCAGAGACCTGGAAGGAGAGAGAAGAGAGCCTTTCACAAAGAAGGGAGTGACCGAGTGTCCATGCTTCTGTGTGTTTGAGTACAGAGTGTGGGATTCTCCTGAGCATCCTTTGTTCCACTGGGATGGAAGATGGGACCTGATGAGACCGGGGCTAGGGGAATATCCTGAGCCCCACATGTGTCTGTGTCTGTGTGCGGGGGGTGTGGAAGGTAGCTCCTGCTTGGTGAGGTGGAGCTGAGAGCGGTGCCACTTAGCAGCTATCTGTGCTCCTCTGGTACTTGGAGAGAAGGAGCCAGCATTTGCCCATCCTTCCTCCTAAGCCCTATCAGTTGTGAATTGGAAAGATGCCCCCGCCCACCACATTTGCTGGAGTTGGACTAGAGCTGGTAATATCAGGGTTTTACTTTTTAGTTTAATTTCTTGTACAATGCATGGATTTTTATTGAGTTTTGCTAATAAAGAGCTCCATAGGGTATTACTGAACAGGTCTGGTGTGAAGATAAATGAAAGCTGTGTACTTGGAAAGACAATGCTGTATTATTTTCAAACCCCCGTGAGAAAAAGGCTTTTTGCAATGGGTAAGCTCTGGATCGAGTCCAATACAGACACCCTTGCAGAAGTGGTATTCCAGGAAACACAAGATGGGTCAAATGATGACAGTTTGTTGGGGGGGGGTGGGGAATGAGTCTTTGAAGAGCTGTAGCCCCTTTCTTTTCCCTCGGTGGCTGCCAGGCAGCTGGTCTCTACCACAAGTGCAGACTGTCACATGTCAAGGCTATTGCAGAGCTGAATAATGGGGCACAGGACTGGAAAAGGTGAAACATTTTTTTCAAAATTCAGCCAATTTTTCTGGAATAAACATTCCTTGTTATGCGGTAAACATGTGCGCTTAATTTCCAGAGTTGTGAAAAAGTTGACTGCAATCTTTTTTGCCAGTTTTCTTTTTGTGTTTACAAAGGATTTCTTTTTTTGCCATTTTCTGTGATGTTATTTAACAATGTTCTTTCTAAGCAGTGACTTCCTTTTTTAATAAGGAAATTGTATTTTAAAAAATAAAATACAGTAACCAAAATTAAGTAAAATGATCAATTCTTGGCTTTTATATGCCAATTTATTATAACAAATATTTACAAACTTGGACACATACACATAAATATTTCTACATATAATATGCATACTTTCTGTCATTTGCTTTCCTTAGCAATATATAGTAACTATCTTTTGTCATTCTGTAACATATACACCGCCATTTTTAATAGGTACACAATATTCAGATGAAACAGATGCATCGTAATTTAACATATATCCTCTTACTGGATGTTTACGTTGTGTTCAATTTCTTACTTTTATGAAAAAGTCTGGGATGAACATCCTTTTATGTCCTTTTTTTTTTTTGAGACAGAGTTTTGCTCTTGTTACCCAGGCTGGAGTACAATGGTGCGATCTTGGCTCACTGCAACCTCCACCTCCCAGGTTCAAGCGATTCTCCTGCCTCAGCCTCCTGAGTAGCTGGGATTACAGGCATGCGCCACCATGCCTGGCTAATTTTTTATATTTTTAGTAGAGACAGGGTTTCTCCATGTTGGTCAGGTTAATCTCAAACTCCTAACCTCAGGTGATCCGTCCGCCTCAGCCTCCCAACGTGCTGGGAGTACAGGTGTGAGCCACCGTGCCCGGCCCTTTTATATACTTTTTGTGTGCTTGTCCCAATCATTTTAGGAGATAGACTCCTAGAAGTGGGATTTCCAGATCAAAGGATAGCAGAAAGCAAGTGCGTTTGGGGGCGTTTGGGGAGGGTGATGTCTGTCCCACAATCTAGACTGAAAGGTCTTCCTCCATCCCTGCACCTGTTTCTCAGCCTCTACCTCTTGCTCCGTGCTAGGGAGCCTGCTCGGGGAAGACATGCTTATTTAGATTAATTCAATCAGTGGGTAGAAGGGTCATTCAAATCCATGAAAAGTCCTCCTTTTAAGCTGTGTCTTTTGGAAATTTCCTCTTTTGGCTTTGAAGTAGCAAAACCTGGTAACCTTCTGATACCTTGGTGAGGGTCAGTCAGATCAATAAGTTTTTGTTGTGGTCCTACTGTGTATCCTTGCTGTGTTCATAGAGGCTGGATCAATAAGTAAATGAGAATGACTTGCTCCTAGCACAGATTTCACACAGAGTGAGTTTTCGTTTATGTCTAGAAATCTGCAAAGAAGGGAACTTTTTCTCAGTTAAGAACAAATATTAAAAGTATGTGATGATAAGCCTGAGACATTTGCAATGGGCTCAAGGACTTGCTTCATCAAAAACTGAAAAGATTAAACCACATTCAGTATGGTTTTATGTTTAAGCATCTTACAGTTCTCTGAAAACGGCAGTTCCTTTTTCCTGTATTAGACCCTCCGCATTATGAAGGAATCTGTCCCGAGCCCTTTGAGAGCCCTGCATTCATGAATGTCACCGTAGCATCCAGTCTCTCTCATAACATGCGGTAAAGGCCAACTGAAAAATGCCTGTGACTCTTCCAGGCTCCTGAGGAGACTATCAATACAAGACTGCAGTCATTTATAAAGCTATTAAAACAAAGTGGGGCCGGAGCCCTTGCTGAAATGATTTTCAGAGTTGTTATTTTCTCTCTAAAACACATGGCAAACAATGGCATGTTAGAAATTCAACACTTGGCTGAGTTCCACTTTTTGTATTTTACTTTATCCCAAACTTCTGTGAAACGACCATGTTGTTCAACTGACTTGCTTGCTTTGCGTTCCCGTCTGCACACTAGGAGTTGACTTCCTTTTGTGTACCATGTTTCTTAAGAAGTAAAACCTGCCTTCATCTATGGAAGCGACCCTGTTGGATAATGACTTCAGCCCCCAGGAATTAAATCCTGGCCCAAGAAAACTGCAAAAGCACAAACTGCAAAACTGCAACCTACATTGTATGTGATACTTTGGAGTTACTTGCAGGCAGCAGCACCTGCAGTGGCAGGGCAGGTGGGGACTGTGTTGTTGGGAAAGCTCAATTAACCGGCACCCACATTTCCTAGTACGCTAAGGAATGACCCTGTCTGCCTGTGAAAGAGCTAAACCCCATCTCTGCTCCTGAGTAAACATGAACATTCTGTTCCCTAATACCTTCCTCTCATGCTGTTAACTTCACTCAGCTGATTTCAGACACACATAGAATAACACAAAGGCTGGCCTAGCAGACCTGGAGTCAGCCCACCCTTCAGTTCACACAGCAGTATTCACCGGTGATCTACCATCTCCACACCCTGCTAGGACTTGGGGGGTGGGGAAAGGCTGTCGCTTAAAGTCTGTGCAGGAGACAGATGATAAACAAACTGGAAAGATACCAGTTGGTTGGGGGGATTAAGATAAGTGGAGTGGTGGTGATTGGAGGCTCAGGGGGTTTCTGAGAAGCTGGGTCCAGCCCTGGATGGTCCCAGCAGAGCCGTATGGCAGGCAGAGGAAGGAGATGACACGGAGACCCTAAGGTGGGACATCTAGAAACTGAAGGAAGAGCCATGTGGCTGGGGGGACAGTGGACAGGGAGAAAGTGCAGGGACCATGTGGAGCTGGGTGGGGGCAGCGGCCACCATGGGGACAGTCACTGTGTCATTTTTGGTCCAAACTCAGACATTTTTGAAAGAAAAACATGACTGCTATTAGTAATCATCTGGGACAGCAGGTGTCAACCTGGACTGTACCTGGAAACCCATGAGTTAGGCAGCTTAGTGGACAGAGACGGTGGCATCACCTTGCCCCTGTGTTGCCCACCGTTCCACTGGAAAGTGCCGCAAGCTGGCAAGCGTGTGTCCTCTCGGTTCTAGCCACCATCACCCTGGTCCGGAGTCCTTCCTCTGGCAGGTGGGCAGCTCCATTGACAAGCCAGCCCTCCATTAAGACCTGTCTCCTTTGTTTCCTTCTCTCCTCTTGCCCTGGATGGGGCTCTTAGGAACACTGCCACGGAAATGCAAGAAGGAGCTCCTGGCCGTGAAGCTAAGGAACCGGCCAAGCAAACAGGAACTGGAAGACCGGAACATTTTCCCCCGAAGGACTGATGAAGAAAGACAGGAGATCCGGCAGCAGATCGAGATGAAGCTCTCCAAGTAAGTGGCAGCGTGCGGACACAGTTGGGCCTGTGCTCCGGCCTTGCAGGCTGAGCCCCTCTGAGATCCCACATGCTGAGTGTGCCAGGCCGGGGCGCACAACCCACCGTCTGCAGCAGGTCTCTTGACCCTGCCACCATTGACGTTAGGGGCCATGTGGGGGCCCTTTCCTGTGGGGACTGTCCCGTGCACACTCAGATGTTTAGCATCATTCTTGGCCTCTACACACGACACTTCCCGTGACAATCAAAACTGTCCCTGGACATCATCAAATGCCTCCTGGAGGGTGAATTGCTCCACTGGCCTGTAGGAGCCAGGCAAGGACTGGGCCAAACTGATGAGGACATGGCTTGTCAGTGTTAGAGACAGGGGACGTCTCTGTTCACCTCTATCTGATCATTTTCCTGCAAGAAGGTGGATCCAGTGTTGCCAGATCTTCTAAGTTTGTCAAGTAAAGCTACCTCCCTTCCCCTCCCACCCACACACACACAGTTATGCAGTCACGTGTCATTTAATGACAGGATACATCCTCAGAAATGCGTCATTAGGAGATTTTGTTGTCGTGGGAACATCACAGAGTGCACTACACAAACCCAGAGGGTGCGGTCTGCTGCACATCTGACTACGTGCTGTAGCTGATGGTTCCGGGGCTACAAACCCGTACAGCACATGACTCTACTGAATACTGCAGGCAATTCTAGCACATCATCGTATTGAAACATTTCTCAATATAGAAAACGTACATTAAAATATGACATACAAAATACTAAAAAGTTCCCTCTGTATAGAGCACTTACCATGAATGGAGCTTGCAGGCCTGGAAGTTGCTCTGGGTGAGTCCCGAGTGAGTGGTGAGCCAACTAGCGCGTGAAAGTGCACCACTGCAGACTTCAGAATCACTGCACACTTAGGCTATGCTACATTTATAGAAACATATTTTCTTCAATAATAAGTTAACCTTAGCTTACTGTAACTTTTTACTGGAAAAACTTTTAACTTTTGGACTCTTATAACAGCACTTAGCACAAAACACAAATTATATAGCTGCATAAAAATAATTTCTCCTTACCCTTATTCTATAAGCTTTTTATACTTTTCAATTTTATGTTTTACTTTTTAAATGTTTCATTAAAAATTAAAACACAAATGCCACATTAGCCTAGGCCTGCACAGGGTCAGAACCATCAATATCACTGTCGTCTTCCTCCTCCACAGCTCGTCCCCCTGAAAGGTCTTCAGGGGCAATAACGTGCATAGGGCTGTCATCTCCTATGAGAACAGTGCCTTCCAGATTGAGGGACCTGCTGAAGGCTGCTTTACAGTTAACTTTTTTTTAATAAGTAGAAGGAGCATACTCTAAAATATTCATTAAAATTATAGTGAATACATAAAGCAGTAACACAGTCATTGAATATCATGATCAAGTGTGATGTACTGCATGGTTACATGCACTAGGCTTTTAGAGGACTTGGCAGCATGGTAGGGTTTTTTACACCAGCATCGCCACAGACATGTTAGGAACGCGTTACCCCAAGGTGTTATATGACAGCACCAATGTCACTAGGCATTGGTTATTTTACAGCTCCATTTTCATCTTCTGGGACTACTGTTATGTATGTGTGTCGTAGATGTCGTATATCATTGAAACGTCATGAGGTACATGTCTGCATATATACACATACATGTCTATCTACATACGCATCATTTTCTGGACAATATGTGCACCAAGTCCACCCATCTGCCCAGAGCCACGGGTGGGCACCTTCTGTGTGGCACCCCTGAAGGGTTCCCTGGGTGGTCCCTGTGGTCTGCTGGGCTGGAGATGGACTGTCTCATGGGGCAGGACAGAGTGGAGCTGCTGCGTCTTGCTGGTTGAGGTCTGTAGGGATCCAGTCATGCCCCTGAGACAGAATGGGGGCCTTCTTTTGGAAGGCAAGGCTGCCATGAGCCAGGTGGAGCTGACCTTTGTGGCGTTCCAGGGTTGGGCACCTGCCTAGTTGCTTTCCACATTCCAGAGCCACTGGAGTTCAGAACCCCTCAGAGCTTGCTGCGTACCCCAGTTTGACACTGCCCAAAGGTGCCAAGAGCCACTGAGCAGGCATCAGTGGGCTTTCAGAGGAAAGTCATTCCATTCTGGCAGAGTGGGCCTCTGTTTCCTCTTTCACCGGGCCAGGTGGCAGGCTAACCTGTCCCGTGTGAGGCAGGAGAGGAAATTCTGATAAAACTCGTGCACAGTGTCCCAACAGCCACAGTCTGCATCTCCTGCCCATCCTTGTGAGGTGTGAGCCGGTCTGTGCAGGGTTGGGCCTGGCAGACAGTACCCTGGACAGCCCCTAGTCCGCTCCTTCCCTCTTTAAACCTCAAAAGCCGACCTTTCCCTGGAGGGAGAGACAGTACCCTGGGGTGAGGGGAACCAGTTCTGGGAGCGCCACTGCCTCTGTTGATTTGCTCTTCACCCTTGCTGTCCCCATGCCCGTGAGTCACTGGAGACCCTGGGAAAATGCAGGTTCTGATGGTGCGGGTGTAGGGAGGCCTGAGAGGCTGCATTTCTAGCAAGCTTCTGGGGCTGCCGACGCTGCTCGCTGCTGGGCTGCAGGTCACACTTTGAGAAGCGAGGGTCTGCAGCGGGGTCCCCAGCCTGGGAACCATTGACGTTTGGGCCCAGATGGTTCTCCGTGGAGGAGCCGTCCCGTGTGTAGTGTGTTAGCAGCATTCCTCCCGCCTTCCACTAGATACTAGTAGTACACCCTCCACTTCTGACCACCAAATGCGTCCCAGACACCGCCCAACGTCCCCTGAGGCCAGAGACAACAGAATGGTCCCTGGGTGAGAATCCATGATCTGAAGGTTGGACTCCCGCTCTGGGCAGATTTTCCTCTAAGCGGTGGGGCTCTTCATTTCTAGGAAGGGTTGTTTCTGGTCTCCGCTGGGGAGCTTGGGCCCCAGTATTCCCAACTCCCACCAAAATCCCTACTTGAGTGTTTTCACAGTGGAGGGCTGTGAACGTGAGCAGGTGAGGCCGGCCCGGGGCGGGGCTGTGCATAGAGCACGAGGTCCTTCCCTTCCAGGTGTCGCGGAGTTGTGCTTGGGGCGCCGGTGCAGGCTGCATTTCTACCAGCGGCTGGGAAAGCCGTGCTGCTTGGCCTCTGCACCACGGTGTGGTCATCCCAGGCTTTCATTTCGGCCAGTCTCAGTGATGGGACGTGTGTTCCTAAGGCTTGGTTTCTCTGATTTCCGGTGAGGTTGAGCATTATTTTCAGCATTTATCAGCTTTTTTGGTTTCTTCTTTGATTGATGGACTTTGCCTGAAGTTTTCTTTATCTTAATGATTTTTAGGAGTTTACTTTTGAAGCTGTGGCTTCTAATCCTTCCCCGTTTTGAGTTACATGATTCTTTTCTCTGTTTGGGGCTTGTATTTTCAGTTTTAAAATACTTTTCTTTGAGGTATAGAAGTTTTGATTTTTAAGGCTGTCAGATTGCCAATCATAAACTTCAAGAGCTCACAGCCTTTTTCTGTGAGGACCAAGTTGTCAGAATTTTGAGGTTTATGACTCAGGCTGTCTCCGCCACCCCTACTCAGTTTGGCCGCTGTGGTAATGAGCAGCTGTAGACAATCTGAGGCTGAAGGGGCACGTCTGTGTGTCAATAAAACTTTATTTACAAAAATAGCCAGCAGTCCATTGGGTCCAACTGGCGCTTTGCTGACCCCTGATGTGCTCTATGGTTCGCACTCTTTGTACCATGTTTAAAAATCTTTCCCAGCCTGGAGGTCAACAAAACTTTATTCACTTCTGTTATCTGCAGTTGCCTTTACCTGTGCCAGTTAATAATGGTTTTCTATTTGATAAACCAAGTTCTTTCAAATTACAATATTAAGTGAATTGACCTAAACAAAAAAAGGTAAGTAATGGATGATAGTACATGTGATTCAAAAACCAACAAAAATTACGGTGGTGCTTGGAATGAGAGAAGCCTGGGGTCCCCACCCCGACTGTGAAGGTGGAGAGGGAGGTTGGGAGAAGGTTGGGCTGCTGGGGATACCCCAAACGCCCCCCTACGTAAGAAGTACCAAAACCATGGGCCCTGTGGCTTGTTTTTACTCCACTACTTACTGAATCTGGAACGAATTTTAAACCTTGGACTGGAATGTAGTAGCTCCCTGGATACTTGTCACCATGTTTAAAAACCCGGAATTAGACACAGAGAAAACAGCAGCAGAGGAGTTGCATCCCAGGAGGTCAGACATGGCTTCCTGGAGGCTCCGTTTGCTTTCCCTACAGCAGTGGCTTAATTGGTCTCCTTTGTCTCTGCTCTGCCTCCTTTCAGAGATTCCTCCACCGTCTCTTGCTAAGTAATTCAGCCTCTGGTTGCCATGGCAACGTGCCGTCTACTGTAGCCCAAAGAACATTTGCCATTTCTTTTTTTTAATTTCCAGAACCTTCATATTTTATCTTCTGAGTGCTCTTGGGCCTTTTCCTGGTGAAGCAGTCACTGTTCCCCACGGCTACCCCAGAACACATCCGTGTGCTTGGTCTGGGATCCCCAGGAAAGTCAGGGTCCCGTTTGAAAGAGTGACGCACTATGCTGATTTTCACCCCTCTCTGTGTAGGAGCTCAGCTTACCTTTAAAACTTGTGCAGATGCATCAGCAGAGTATGGAGGCCCACAGTTCCTGCACGGTAGGTGTGCCCTGGAAATTATGCACAGACGCACGGGCTCTATTGCCTCCATCCTGTCTACAGCCACCATCTCAGAGCAGTGGGAAGGACCCACTGCCGGCTTTCAGCATAGGTGCCGATCGTGTGCTGCCTTACTTTCTTTCATTTACATAATATTCACAGTAACCCAGTCAAGCAGGTGTTACTATCATCTCCATTTTACAGATGAAAAAATTGAGACTTAGTGAGAAGGGAACTGGCCCAGAGCCACGCAGCTTGCAGAAGCTGCCGTGCAGTGTGATGGGCCATTTGTTAGAGTCCCAGGCCTGGGCCTGGGAGAAGC